GTGTTTCCGCGATCTGGCCTCCGGGGGGAAACTAGGGAACTTAAGATAAAGGGTCTACCTGGAACCGGGAAACTGGAGGGTAGGCGCAGAAAAAGGAGGGCGGCCTGGAGGTTTACCCTGACTCCCCAACTGGAAAGAGAGAGCAGTGGTTCCGAGATAGATGAAAAGATGAGAAAAGAGAGAAAACAGGAGAGATAAGGGGATAAAAATCACAGTGAAAAAAACAAAACCACATTGAGGCTGAGAACAGGGGCAGATCAAAAAGAGAAAAGCAGGCATGAAAACACATAAAAGGCAGGTGAGATGGATGCAGGAGTTTGGAGTTGGAAAAGATAGAGAAGAAATGGAAACGGGTGGGAGAGAAAAGGGAGGAGATATTGGCCGAATTCAGAAGTCCAACGTACTCTTCCCAACGCACCACGAATGGTGACTTCCTTACTTTCTCACGCAGTCTCAACCCCTCGCGCCTCCTCCTCTCCTCTCAGCCCCGGCCCCCATTCCTCGACCTCCCGACTGGGCCGCTTTGGGCCTGGTCTCTGCTGCCCCCGAAAGGTCCTCCTCGGTACTGCCAGATGGAGAGGTGGCAGAGGAGGACCAGCCACCACCGGGAGGATCAGTTTGGGGGAGACACCCGGTGCAGGCTAAGCGAAAGGGGGAGCACTAAGACCCAGGGATGGTGGAGGACTGCAGCAACGAGCTGGAAGAGAAGTAGGCGGTGGGTGGGGGCTGGGAGCCATCTGGTACCTTGGTAGCATCCGAAACAGAATCTGCCATAACGACAGAAATGGCCAGTCAATCCCAGGGTATCCAGCAGCTCCTGCAAGCAGAGAAACGGGCGGCTGAGAAGGTGGCAGATGCCAGAAAGAGTGAGTCTCCCCCTTCCTCCCTTAGAAGTCTGGAAAGAAAATGGGGGGGAGGATGTGGACAGCAAACATTTGAGCCCTGAGGTACCCAAGCCAGCTGGGGAGAGAGCTGGGGGCTGGGGTGGCTAATTAGAAGGGAAGAAATGGGTGAGTGCTAGAATCTAGCACCTGGTTGGCTGAGCGCAGAATAACTTTCTGGAAAGGACTGACCCCCACTATCACATTTTTGTGTAGGGTTCGCCCACCCCCATCCTTCTTTTGCTTCCAGGGAAGGCGCGGCGTCTGAAGCAGGCAAAGGAAGAGGCACAGATGGAAGTGGAACAGTACCGGCGGGAGCGAGAGCTGGAATTCCAGAGCAAACAGCAGGCGGTGAGTCTGGGGAGAATTGGGGATGGCCCCCCAGAGTGCAAGTTGGTGGATGCATCTGGTGAGGGTGGTTCTACGATAAAATAAGATGGTCAAGGACAGAAGGGGATCCTGGTGGGGACCATGTGACATTGGTCAAGCTTTGTGATATTTAAGAGTCCGGGCATTTTGAAGGCCTTGAGCAGCGTGTGGGGGAGTTGCCACAGTCTGTGTGGAGTATGATGACATTTGGGTGGAGGGCAGAGGTCAGTGGTTGGGTGGTGAGGGTGGGGGTTGTACAGTCTGATGTTGCATGCCAGGTCTCGGAGGACAGGGGTTGTGCTGCTGTCCTGGTGTCCGGCTGTTTCCGCGGGATGGGCAGGTTGGAGGGCCTTTCTCTCTGGCCTTGCTCTAGGACCTTTTCCTCCACATGCCTGGACCCTCTTTTCTCTGTCTCTTCCGTTTTCTCTTCTACCCCTTCCTCACCCTCCAGGCCATGGGCTCCCAGGGAAACCTGTCCGCAGAAGTGGAGCAGGCTACCAGGCGCCAGGTGCAGGGCATGCAGAGCTCCCAGCAGAAAAATCGAGAACTCGTCCTGGCCCAGCTTCTTGGCATGGTCTGCGAGGTCAGGCCCCAGGTCCACCCCAACTACAGGATTGCTGCCTAGGACAAACCCTAGCGCCCAACTCCTCCTCAAAAGAAATCCCCAAATCAGTCTCGCCTCCCATCCTAATCCTACTCTCCTTTTCCATTCCCTGGAAATTCTAGGAGGCAGGACCAATAATTCTCCTGTGAAATATAGATGTCCTGCTCAGACCTGAATCTCCTTATTGTTTTTTAACCTTCATTGAGACCTTATAAACTCCCAAGCCACCCTCATCCAATCCCTCTGTGAAATTTGTAGCATGAAAAAGCAGGGATGTAGGAAACATCCTAACTCCAGAGCCCAGCAGGCTTGGATCCCTCTCCTGACCCTGCTACTAGTTGACAGGCAACCAGAACAAGCTGCTTAACCCGTAGCCTCACTGCCTCCCCTGGAACAACAATGCCCACCTTTCAGTGTTGCTGCAGTAATTAGGAATCATTCTGTCCAGAGCCTGGCATGGTTGCTGTCATGTAATAGTTATGATTTGATTAATGGCAACCCTGTGATATTATTACCACCCCATGTCCACCTGCCAAAACCTAAACACAGCTGTTTCCTCACTTCTGTCTGTGGCCCTAACTCTACTCACTGATTCTGTGACCCTAGTAATTCTCTGAAGAATTGGTTCTTCCCACCTCTCTTTTCCCAGGCCTTATGATCCCTGAAAAGATAAAATGATGATTTCATTTAGCCCCTTTACTGTAATTCCAGAAAGATGGTACATTTTTTAGCCCCTCCTTCATCTCTCTTAAGTTGGTCTTTCTCTTTATTGGTTTTCTCCCATTTCTTATTATCCCAAAGACCTATCAGATGATCGCTGCTTCCTGACATTTAAAGTGAAGCTTGTCACCGTGTATGCATGGACTTCCTTTGCAACAATAAAAACTCTCAATAAAATGATTATGGGCAAATCCTTTTGTTTCATCATTTCTCATTTAGCCCCTCTCTTGTGTCTTGTTTCTATATTCTCCAAACACCCAAAAGGGATGCCCTTTCAAACTTGTTGGAGAAACATAGCAAATAACATATTATTATTGCCTAGCAATGTGGCTCAGTGGTTGAGCATTGATCTAAGAAACAGAAGGTCACAGTTTGATTCCCTGTCAGGGCACATGCCTGGGTTGCTGGCTCGATCCCAAGTAGGGGGCATGCAGAAGGCAGCTGATCAATGATTCTCTCTCATCACTATTATATTTCCCTCTCTCTTCCTCTCCCTGAAATCAATAAACATTATTTTTTAAAAAGAAAATCCTAAAAATCATATTTCTCTAAAGTGAGAAACATAAGTGATTCCTAGTTTGGGAAAATGAAGGTTTTAGATGGCGACTGTAGAGAAAGCTGGGTGCAGGAACAAGCATTGTGCCCCTTCATTAACCGAAGAGGCTCAGGCTGTAATGAGAACAAAAGGCAATTATTTGAACAAAATGACTGCACTGCCATGATGCAGATTCAGGCAACTACTCAAACTGCTCTCTGAGAGAACAAAGAAAGGCAGGATTTATAAAAGCAAAAACCACAAAGTGCAATTCTTTCATGTAAATGAAGGATCACTGGCTAGGGATTGGTTGGTTCTAACATGCAAATAAGGGAGGCAAGAACTATGAGGAGCAGGTAAAGTCCATGTGTCCCTGAAGCAGTTGTTCCAAAATGTTTATGACTCAGCTTTGAGCTGAGTTGTTAGCAACTTCATAGCAGCTCCAAGCACTGCTGCTTCCCCAATGGCCTCTGACTCTATGTAAGGTGATTCTCTTAGCAGTGCCTGTTCCATTTTATTTTTTCCATTATCATCTGGCTTTATTTTTCTTCATAGCACTTACTACTACTTGACATATTTATGTTTGTGCATTGTCTCTCCTGTTAGTGAACTCTGTAACGACAGGGCCATTCACTGCTATGTCCCCAGATCCTAGAATAGCACTTGGGACAGAGTATGAAAGATAAATACTGTTGAATAAATTGATACATAGGGTTGGAAAACTGCCCTTCTATGACACCATCCTGGGATCCTTGGATGGATCACTTACTGCATTTTTCTTGGCCACAGAAAACAAGCCTCTGAACCAGACGCTCTAAGCAGGGCGGCAGGATACATCCTCTTGTATAATAAAAGACTAATATGCAAATTGACCGAACGGTGGAACGACTGGTACTATGATGCACACTGACCACCAAGTGGCAGACGCACAATGCAGGCGCTGCCCCCTGGTGGTCAGTACGCTCCCATAGTGGGAGCACTGCTCAGCCAGAAGCCCTGAGCCAGGTTCAGGGCTTGAGAGTGCAGTAGTGATGGCGGGAGCACTAAGGATGTCAGACTGTCAGCTTATCCCCCGGAAGGCTCCCCAACTGTGAGAGAGATGGGCTGAGGGACTGCCCCGCCCCCAGAGCAGGAATTCATGCACCGGGCCTCTAGTAGAGAATAAGAAGTGTTCACATCCTGGCTCTGTCACCTTACTAGCTGCACTACTTCCCACATGTTGCTTTATTCTCTTCACTCT